ACCTCCAAATAAATTCGAATTTACAAACAAAAAAAAATTGGTTTGTCACGTAGTTAAAGTTTATTTTTTGATATTGACGTAATGTATGTCTTTTCGTATAATATATCACTTAAATTAAAGCTAAATAAGTTAATTTTTTTGCAATAAAAATATAGTTTTCTATTTGAAAGTTAATTTTAGTAGTTTACTTTCGCGCCCAAAAGGACAAGAAAAACTCTTCATCTCATCATAAGTCCTTCGACCCGGATATAATTATTTCCGGTTAACATTTGGTTCAATAATGGGGAAAAAAACCCTTGATGAATCGGATCCACATACTCCTTTACAAAATGCCGTCGGAAATAATGCAATTCGCCCCAAACAGTTGCATCGTGACAATAACAATTGGAAGTAAAATTATTCTTCCATTCATTTAAAGAAAACCAAAAATAAAGTAAAAATCTTGGACGAGGCACAGTTGCAGATGGATCATAGATCTGTTTTTGAAGAGGCTTATTTCAATATGAAGTCAAAAATTCTTGAGAAGATGTCGAATGTTAAATTAAATGGAACAGTCGCATCAATGAGCAGCAAACGAATTATGTTATCATCTGGGCACCAACCAACGCGTCCAACTCTGCCTACATTCCAACGGCGAAAGTTTAGCGGAGAATACACTGACTGGACAGGTTTTTACAACATGTTCTGTCAATCAGTTCATCGTTCATGAACGTATAACATAAACAAATTAAAATGAAGTAAATTATATGAACACATGGGGATTCCATTGAATGTTTTCTTATTTTAATCCAAATGTCTTCCACATCAATGTTTTATTTGCCTAATAAAAAATATGAAACTGGAATTTTCCGAGTATGCAGTTTAGGTGTTTTCCGGCACAGATAGCTTGAAATTGTTTAGAAACGAGTGCGATAAAATGTAGTAACATGGAACAATGAAGACAAAGTAGGGAAAAACAAGTAAAAAACATTAATATAAATAGGCAGGTACCGTTATATGGGGGCTATACCAAAAAGTATTCGACCTATTGCATGACCGCGCCACAGCAACCTGGTACTAGCACGAATTTCAGATGGCGTAGAAGGAGGTGTTTTCGCAGACCTTAGTTTCTGCAAAAGTTCGGTTATTTCCGATAAACATTCAATGAAGTTTTCTCTGGTGGACTGATATTTTTCATCAGCAGAAGCAATTCCGTCTGAGGTAGTACCCTCAACGGTTATCAGATAATCGAGATACTTTTCGTAAGTATCCTTGAACTTGTACCACAAGTCCTGAAGTTCGGTGTTTCGAATTTCTAAAATGAAAACCGTGTGAGTTTCTGCCTTACTCAATTTGAAAGCAGCGGCAAATTTAACAACATTATCGGATGCCCGAATAAATTGAATTAGTGGAGTGACCGACATGGTTTCAGAATTCGATTTCAACAAATACTATGAAAATATTCAAATAAAGTGAAGCAAATGACGCAAAGTCTTATTAAAAACACCCAAATAAAGGTATAAGCGAAGAAAGCTTCAAAAGAAAAGGCGAAATATTTGAAAAATCCCAAAGGAAAACTAATTCGACGGAGAAAAGATTGAAAAACTCCCAAAAAGTTACCAAAGAAGCAGAAAATATCAATTTTTTTCTCGCAAATGAGCACAATGAAATGTACATATAATATGCCGGATGTAGGGTGACAAAATATTAAAAAAATCGAAAAATACTTTTTTATTAAATACTATCAAAAACAAATTAAAAACTATTTTTCAAAATTTTATTTTTTAGAATTCACAATTTTTCTACTTGAACCCACTGTGCAGTGGTGAATAACGAATGCCGCACAAAGAAGAATAAAACACAAGCAGTGTTTGATGGTTGAACGGTGACGGGGGTGGGTTAAATACCACACTACGAGCTGACCGACGACAATGGTCGCAACGGGTATCGCACAAAAGAAAATAAAACACAAGCAGCGTCAGCAGAGTGCTCAGTGTGTGTGGGTAAGCAACTGCCCCGCTACGAACTAACCAACGACGACGAACCAACAGTGAGAGTTGGAGAAATAAATACGTTGTTGTTATAGTTGTTGGTTAGTAGACTGACGCTAGAAAAAGGCGCTTGGAATTTGGAGTATTATTGTTGTTGCAATTACACGACAAACAGACCAACGAAAATGTCCAAACAGTGTGTGTTGGAGCGAGGTACGGGGGGATTAAGCAAGTGTTGGTATGTTTGTATGTTAATTAGAAAAAACGGCACTTGCAATGTGGTGATTTTATTCTCGTTTAGAATAATACCCAATTGGTGAGATGTAAAAGAGATCACTCGACAATGCAGAAATGTGTGGAGAATATTGCAATAACCGAAAACAAAATTATGCACACTACTGCGGCAGGTTATTTTATAAACAAAAAAAAATATATATATATTTTTGAATAAATGTGAATTATTAAATACAAATTAACCGGAAAATTCGATTATTTCGCGAGAAAATGGAAAATAATGCGAAGAAGACTCGATTTAAAGGAATATTTAATAGATTTTTCAGCAAAATAAAATTGTTGTGTACTGTAAATTTAAAGAAACCGCGACTAAGGGTAAAACAAAGGCGACCAGTACCGCGAAGCAAACAAAAACTAACACTTTTTCACTTGTTTTTCAAAAAATAAAGCACTATAAGCTCACAAAACAAAATTCACTGAACTTACGTACCTTTGATGATGATGATGAATAGGATGATGTTGATGCGGTGGTGCGATTAATAAGAGGTGATGTATGTTTTGGAGTTGATTCCTTTGCAAAAAGATAACAAAAAAACAGCAATTAATATCCAGGCAAATTTTTCAACTTGGCAAATCCGGCTCGATGCGACCAAATTGTTTATGTAGAGTAATGGGGGAAAAGAAACAATAAGAAAAATAAAACAAATAGGTTTAATTTATTTTCTCAGTAAGTCTGCTGATTTATTGAACTGCTTTTGGTGTGTTTTTTCGACAATAAGGTTACCTCTTTTCAATATGGTGTGTTGGCGACTGTGGCCGTGATGGGTATTGCTTCAAAGACTAAAGACAAGTGAACGCAGAGGTTGGTGATCGCAGAGGATCCCATGTCTGTCTACTAATACAACTACAACTACTTCCAATGAGAGCATGTGCAAAAAGGTGAGGTTACCGACAACAACCAATACCCAGCGACGATCCGCTCACTACGGTCTCCGCCAGGTGAGTTGTAGAGGAGATGCCTGTGCGCCAATCAGCATGCGTGATTGATGGAGCAAGGGAAGTTGAGGGGCAAAGTATCTAACTTATACAGTACCCATTAGGAACTTCCGGTACGAAATGTGAAACGATACCGAATATCGGGGTACCTTTATATGGGGGCTATACGAAGACGTGGACCTGCACAGACAATTTTCTCTTAGGATGTAGTACAAATTAGGACCTTCCAGTACTAAATTTGAAACGATTCCGGTGAATAATGTTGCAGAAATCTTAAAAATACCGAATATCTGGAGGTACAGTTATATGGGGCTATATGACGACTTGGACTTGCATACAAACATTTTTGTCATAGGCTGTGGTACCCATTGCGATATAAATACGAAATTTTAAATAATTCCGGTGAATGACGTCGCTAAAATCATGAAAATACCGAATTTCGGGAGGTACCTTTATATGGAGGCTATACGAAAACGTGGATCGAACTTAACCTGCCTACTGGTAAACTACGCATGTATCTAAAATGATAGAATTTTATCTCAATTCGTTCGAAAGATAGCGTGATTACAACAGACAGACAAACGGACATAGCTAGGTCATCTTACGCTGATGCAGAATATACATATGTACTTTGTAGGGTTTATTATGAAAAATGTAAAAATACAACTATCGTGTCGTTAATTTGTTCAGTGATGTTTTACAAAGCTTCGCTTATCGCTTTCCACGCCGTCTAGTTTTGCCAATATTATTTTGCCGTCGGCAATAGAAAAAAAAACATAGAAAACAAAAACAAACAATTTAAAAAGCAATAAGTTCGGCCGGGTCGAACATTGAATACCTTCCACCATTTGGAATTAATTTGGAAATTTTCAAAAAATTAAATCTTAAAAAAATTCTGTTAAACTTTTAGTAATACCGAATATAGCCGTTAAATTGGGGTCTATACGTCGTGGACCTATATAGGCATTGTTTGTCATAAGTCATTACAATATTCAAATTCTAAGCTTGAAATAAACGGTGAATAATGTAGCTAAAATCGTCAAAATATCGTATATAGGGAGGTACCGTTATATTCAGGCTATACGAAGACGTGTACCTGCCCAGACAATTTTCTGTCATATGCTGTAGCATATTGTGCAGTAGCTTATTGTACCAAAAATCATCAAAATACCGAATATTGGAAGGTACCGTTATATGGGAGCTGTACGAAGGCGTGGACCTGTACAAACAAATTTATGATATAGACATAGCTAGATCATATTACGCTGATCCAGAATATATGTACTTTGTAGGGTTTAATATGAATATTTCGAGAAATTATAAACAAAATGACAATGTTAATATACCCTCCATAGAATGGTAGATGGTATAAAAATGTAAAACAATCGTCTCGTTAATTTCTTCAGTGATGTTTTACAATGCTTCGCTCACCCCGTTCCACACCGTTCACTTTTGCCAATATTGTTTTGCCGTCGGCAATCGAAAAAAAGCATAGAAAACAAAAACTAAAATAATTGTGAAACAATCTCTCTTTGCTGTAAGTTTTTTCCATTTTCTTTACTTTAATAAACTTCACTTCTTTCGTAACCGGCAAACACAGTCGTTGTTCCTGGTAAGAGAAGGTTCCGAACCAAATGAATTTAGTTCAACAAAATTCAATCCCTTGTTTTTAATTCAATATCCTAAAACCGTTTGTTTTATTTTCTTTCTTTATTTTCAAAACCACCGAGTGGAGAATCTTTCCTGACTGCGAAAGATTGTCCAGAATCACAACAAACCTAACCATCCAAGCAATTTCAGAAAATCCAAGAGAATTTGGCATTTTCATTTGGTCCATTCGTACCGGATTTTTGGATAGCTGTTGTGTGCGATTTTCAACAATAAAGATATTTCATTTGTTTACTTCATAACTACCAATAAACAAGGTAAGTCTGTGCTTTTTTTCAAGTGAACAATAGTGCATTTTTTTTTAATAGCCGTTGCCGACGGCAAACGATTTTTTGTTTTTCAAATGCACAGTGTCTTATTTACGAAGTGTAAATTTTTTGTAATTTACTTATTCAGAGAACACTGCGTTTCTAAATCAGTTCAGTTCAGTTTAAGGAAAACTTGCGAGATATTTAATTAATTTTATTATGCTTTTCATTATTATTCTTATATTCTTATAAGATTCTTTTTCTACCCTTTTTATGTATATCTCTATCATAAAGTGTAAGAATACATAATTTATTTATATGTTTTCCTTATTTATTCTTTTCATTTTCTTTTTCCATTTTACCGCGAGAACATTAGTACTTACTCCTTTAATACATTTTGTTGGTGTGTTGTCTTTTTATTTTTTAGATCTTTGTAGTTTCATCTAAAATTAGTTGTTGTTGTTAGAGATTTATTTGCAATAGTCTCTTTACCAACATAAATACCCATGCACCCTACAGTCGTTTCTTTTATATATATATATATATATATATATATATATATATATATATATATATATATATATATATATATATATATATATATATATATATATATATATATATATATATATATATATATATATATATATATATATATATATATATATATATATATATATTTAACTAGAGTCTGTTGTGGATCTTGTTCCTGTACATTTATAGTTCGTTCCGTCAATGCTAGGTGGCGCTGCACACACCTACTTTTTCGAGATTTCTTCAAATATTTCTGGAGGTTTTCGGACGTTTTGACTCTGCCTGCTTTTTCTTCGTTTGTGCTTATTCGTAGTTCATACTGCTACCGCTATTTTTTCCAAGCATTGCTGAGTTTTCTTTGTTCTTTCTTTGGTGGTTAGAGACTGCATATTTTTCCGACACTCTATTTACATATAGTGTTATCCATTGCCGTTAGGGGTCGCTGTGCCGACAAGAGAACGCATAAAAAACCAACACCTTTCAAAGAATTATCCCAATTTTATTCGTTAGTGTTTGTACATAGAATATTCTACTACTAACAGAGACCCAAATCATCCAAGAACACACAGGGGAAAACTTATTTTTTATTTTCCCTCCCGAATTAATATAATTGCCCTCGTGTAGTGGAAACACGTTCGTACTCATCTTCGTTTAACAAGAGTTGTCCACCATTTTCTGGAACTTAGTTTCTATTTTTACTGATTTTTGCTAAACAAAATCAAGCTTCTTTGAATTTTACTTACCGATCATGTCTTTAGAAGCCTTTATTCGTCAAGCTGATCGTCTGGTCACTTTTAATGCCGATATTGTCGGTTGTAATGTTCTCTTGACGTCTGCCCAGCTCCTAAAGATACATATTACTGAAACTAAGTCCTTATGGTCAGAAATCAAGTCTGCTTATGACCAATTTATGTCCGATCGAGCAAACGAAGAACAGAATGTGGAGGATGAGGAAGAAGAAGATGCAGAATCTGCTTCAGAGCTCGAGACTTTTCAAGCCAAATATAAAAGCGCCTATGTCACCTATTGCGAGAGCTTAGTCCGCCACAGTTGTCTGAGGATCTTCAGAGTCAGACAGTTGCCAAAGAGCCGTGTGGTTCTCCACCGAATCCGTTGCCACAGAGTCCCAATTCGGGTGTGCGTCACGATCACAGTTTGATTTATTCTTTTAATCTCCCTCCATGTGACACCGACGTTTTCAATGGGGATTAAAAGTCATGGCCGACTTTCCGAGATATGTTTACGGCCGTGTACATCAAAAATTCTAGGCTTAGTCCAGTTGAGCGACTGTTCCATTTAATTCAGAAAACTAAAGGCGAAGCCAGAGATATAGTTCAGCGGTCACCCTTGACAAATCAAGGTTTTCAACTCGCTTGGAAAAACTTGTGTGATCGTTTCGAAAATAAGCGAATTCTTATTAATGGGCAATTAAAGGCGCTATTCAATCTTCCTGCTACTAAATTCGAGTCTTCGAGTGCAATTAAGTCGTTGCAACGCGACGTAAGTTCCTGTATCGCCGCGTTATCTCTCTACGATATCGACGTTAGAAGTTGGGACCCAATATTCGTGTTTCTGTGTTCGAACCGACTTCCAGACTCAACGCTAACGCTCTGGGAACAAGGTTTAGCTGATAAGACTGCCATTCCAAAGTGGGCTGACCTTGATTCTTTTCTTACTAATCGATATCGCACTCTTGAGTCCGTTTCCGAGATACGCAATTCTCCGAAGTCTGATGATCATAAACCTAAATCCGGTCCAACCTCCAGAAGTTCGAAGTTCAACTCTTTTCAGACCAAGATCACGGCCCTGAAATGCCCATTATATCCAAATTCCGTTCATATCATTCGAAAATGACCCACATTCATAGCTTCGAGTGTCAGAGGCGGCACAACACCATGCTTCATGATCATCCACCAAGTAATCCACCCACTAGCTCTGCCGCTTTGAGTCCAAACTCCATTCCATTCTCTCCTAACTCTATACAGTCCTCTAGTTCTGGCGGTGGGGTAATCCAAACATGCTTCACTTCAAGTTCTCGGGCTGTTTTGCTGGGGACTGCTTTGGTGAATGTGGTGCATTTAGGAATAGCGTATCACGCTCGTATACTACTGGATTCCGGTTCTCAAGGAACATTCGTATCTGAGCGTTTTTTCAACAGAATGAAGCTCCCTTATAAGCGTACAAACGTTCAGATTTCTGGTCTCAACAATTCGGAAGCTGCCTCCGTTCGGAAGATATGTTCTGTTGTTTTGTCCTCCCGATTTGACGATTCAGTTCAACTTTCCGTGCAGGCATTCGTTATTCCGCAGTTGTCTGGGAATCTTCCTTCCCAAAATCTACCATCCTCTCAATTCTCTCGGCTTCCTCCAATTAAACTGGCTGACCTAAATTTCTTCAAAAGTTCGAACATCGACATCCTGATAGGCGGTGACTTCCTTCCTAACATCATGCGTGCTGGAGTAATGCGAGATATTTGCGAGTCCTTAATGGGACAAGAAACCATCTTTGGATGGGTCCTTACTGGCCCGGCTCCGAAGCCCTCTCCAGCAGCCACTATAATTTAAAATTTTTGTGAAATCTCTGTAGATGAAGCGCTTCGTCGGTTCTGGGAGGTTGAGAACCTTTATAGGAAAAAGTTTCCTTCGAACTCCGATAAATATTGTGTGGAGCTTTATGCTTCTACTACAAAGAGAAACGAATTTGGTCGATATGTTGTACGTCTTCCTTTCAAACGAGATTTTCCAGAGAAATTGGGACTTGGTCAATCCCGTTCGAGAGCCGTAACCCAATTTGTTCGCAATGAGAGCCGCTTATTACGACATTCAGACTATAAAGTGGAGTATGATAAGGTACTCAAGGAGTACGTTCAGTTGAAACACATGCTTCCAGTTCAGCCTCCATGTTTAAATAGTAATTCATTTCATTATTATTTACCCCATCACGCTGTCATTAAACCAGAGAGCTCGACCACTAGGGTTCGGGTGGTTTTTAATGCCTCTTCCGATACGTCCAATGGTCGCAGCCTTAACGACGTTTTGCACGCTGGTCCGGTGCTGCAATCTGACTTGACCACTTTACTTCTCAAATGGCGTCTCTTCCGATACGTATTCAATGCGGACATCGAGAAAATGTACCGCCAGATTCTTGTTCATCCAGACCATACTCCATTTCAACGGATTATATTCTGCAGCACCCAGGTGAGACCATTCATGATTTCGAGTTACAAACTGTCACTTTGGTGTCAACTGTGCTCCGTACTTGGCTATTAGCACTTTTCACCAACTTGCTGACGATGTTCAAGATTTATATCCGACTACAAGCAAGCCCATTCGCGGTTTCATGTACGTCGATGATGTACTTTTCGGCGCTCACTCAGTGCCTCTCGCAATCAAATCTACAACACCATTTCCCTCCACATGTTCATACACAAAAAGGGAGATTCTCTCTCAGATCTCCAAACTATTCGATCCTGCTGGCTTTCACCCTGTATAGTTGTGACAAAGGTTTTAATGCAAAAAATATGGTCCAAAGGCACTGGTTGGGATGAAGTTATTAATTCCTCCACTTTGTCCGAGTGGAAAGCGTTCCAATCTAATAATTCCATTCTTGATAGCGTTCGAATTCCGAGGTGCGTTCGAATTCCGAGGTACGTCCGTATTCACTCACCTGGTGTATTCTAAGACAAGAGTTGCTCCAGTGAAAACGTTATCCATTCCAAGATTAGAACTGTGTGGGGCTGATCTTCTGGCAGACATGATCGATAACTTACTTCCTACCCTCAATATCTCTAAATACCCCTTGTTCTGCTGGACAGACTCCACTATAGTTCTTTCTTGGCTCTCCAAACCTCCAGGCCATTGGCAAACATTTGTGGCCAACAGAATTTCTAATATCATTCAAGTAGTGGATTCTTCGAGGTCTCATCATGTTCCCTCTGAAACCAACCCAGCCGATTTGGCAAGTCGTGGTGTCAAGACATTGTTAATAATGAGCTCTGGTGGTACGGGCCGTTGTGGCTTCGGGAGACTTCCGATCAATGGCCGAAGTTTATTCATCCGATAGAGACAGACGTGGAGCGAAAGTCTGTTCGTGTTCATGTTTCATATGTTAATGCATCGGAGGATCTTTTGGGAGGCATCTCATCGTACCCGCGAGCGCTTAGGGTGTTATCCTACGTGTATCGATTCTTCCGTTCTTCTTTTCCAAGAAGTTCTCAACCTCTCTTCAATCAAGACATAATCGGAGGTCGAAACATTCTTGTTAAATGGTATCAAAAGTTCTGCTACTCAGAGGAGTACAAATCACTGTACTTTCAGAAACCGCTCTCTTCATCTAGCCCTCTTCTGAGTTTGAATCCGTTCATGGACCCTGAGGGACTGATCCGTTCTTGCGGACGGTTAGATTCATCTCCCGGCATTCCCTTTGATGAAAGGCGACCGGTCATTCTTCCTTACAATTGCAACTTCACAAGGTTCTATGTTAAATTTGCTCATCAGATCACAATTCATGGCGGTAATCAACTGGTTCTTCGTGTGATAAGATCCCAATATTGGATCCCTAAGGTTAAAAACACGATAAAGGCAGTAATTAAGAACTGTAAAACTTGTGTTCTCTACAAGAAACATTGTCAGAAGCAGATAATGGCTGCTCTTCCTCCCGAGCGAACGGTCCTTTCTCGTCCATTTTGCTGCACAGGTCTTGATTTTGCTGAGCCATTTGACGTGAAGAGCTATTGCGGGCGTGGTTGTCGTGTCACCAAAGGTTATGTGTGCGTGTTCGTATGCTTTTCTACAAAGGCAATTCATTTAGAGCCTTCGTCCGATCTTTCGACTCCTACCTTCCTAGCAGCTTTCCATCGATTCGTTTCTCGTAGAGGGTGCCCGTCTTATTTATATTCAGACAATGGTACGACCTTTATAGGGGCATCCAAAGTTCTTGCTAGAGAGTTCTTTCCAGCATCGCGTTTGGCTGTGGTCTCGCAATATTCTCTTCAGAATGTGAATTGGCATTTTATTCCCCCGGGTGCTCCTCATATGGGGGGCCTTTGGGAGGCCGGGTCAAAAGCTTCAAAACCCACTTCCGAAAGGTTGCCGGCTCATCCAACTTTACTTTCGAGGAATTCTCGACACTTCTGTCCAGAATTGAGGCGTGCTTGAATTCGCGCCCTCTTTCTCCGATTTCAAGCGAGCCTTCTGATTTCGCAGCTCTGACTCCGGGTCATTTCCTGATCGGTACTCCAATTCTCGTTCCTGTCGATCCACATATAGGTGACACTCCTGTGTCCTTGCTGAATAGGTGGCAACGTCTTAAAGCCATCCATCAGAGTTTTTGTTCTCGTTGGAAGACTGAATACCTATGAGAGCTCCAAAAGCGTACGAAGTGGAGAACTGCAGAAAAGAATATTGAGGAGAACACACTGGTCGCTATTCACAACGAAAATCTTCCCCCTAATTATTGGCGGCTTGGTAGAGTCACAAAGACGTATCTTGGTTCTGATCGACGTGTACGAGTTGCGGATGTGGTGACTCAGAAGGGTATCCTCACTCGTCCTATTACCAAGCTCGTAGTTCTTCCCTTTGAAACCTAAGTTCTATATTAAATTTACCTTTTTCTATGTTTCCTTCTATCTATCTCCATTTGTCTTCTAGAACAATGCCCAAGTCATCGCAATCCAGCAAACCGAGTAAAGCACGAGCCAATTCAAAGCCTCTCCGGAAACACCGTTTCATCTGTCGTCTTTGCCAGCGTCCTCATCCATTAGGATTGTGCAGACAATTTTTAGACATGTCCATGGAGGAGCGCATGGACGCTGTTCGGAGGCATAAATATTGAGTGAACCGTTTAGCTCACGGTCACTCGCATGGTACATGTTTCTGCGATCGCGGCTGCCACCACTGCCATAAGTTCCACCACACCCTTTTGCATGTAAACCCCAAGCTCCGAGATCAACTACTGCCAAGAAGTTCTTCGTCCCGTTCTGAATCGCGGTCAGTTTCTCCACAGCCGCCTTTTTCAAAGGCAACACTTTATCGCGCCATTGAATCCAATTGGGGTAGATCTTTATCCGAGGATTATATCGGAGGGCGTTTATTCACGCAGTTCCTTGCCCACTGCTCAGAGCACCATACTCGGTTGGGCGATCTATGGCTCTTGTACGAACTAAGTGTCGTCATTTTATTTATTATAAGCCTTTCTCCATGAATTTCATTAATAAATGAAGAAACATATGCACTACTGTTTTTCTCCGCCCAAAGCACAAACTTTACCTTTTTTCACCAAGTATATTATCCAGTGGCTGTGGATGGAGCGTTTACACTTTCCAGAGAGATCGACGTTTAAGGGGACTATCCCGTACAGCCAGTACTGTCACAATCCTATTACAGATATATTTGAATTTATTATTATTATTATTATTATTATTATTATTATTATTATTATTATTATTATTATTATTATTATTATTATTTTTTTTTATTTATTTATTTTTTTTTTTTGTAAACAACTTATATTATTATTTCTATTTCTTTAGTTGCAGTTACTGCAAGCGAGCCGGTAATGTTAATGCCAAGATTAACTGTGCTGGTCACCCTATTTACGACTTCCAATTTCCGAAAGATTGTCCAGCATCACAACAAACCTAACCATCCAAGCAATTTCAGAAAATACAAGAGAATTTCAGAAAATACAAGAATTATTAGACAGAGAGAAATTAGACAAGAAAAGACTAATGATTGAGAGCCTTAGAATAAAACAACATATTGACAACACGATGAACCTAAAAGAGGATACTGAAAACATAAGTCCGTGCTATGGAGTTGCAATAAAGCAAAAAACTGTCATATTTATTTTTAAGAAGTGTAGTTTATTATATTATGTAAAATCGTCTTAAAAAATTAAACTGTAAATTTATCATATTTTGTGACTTAATATGAAATTAGTTGTACACTTTTTGATTTACTTAAATAGATGAATTTCCCCAGGAGAAGTCGCTAATAAAATCGAGAATAAAATACAAAATAAAATAATTTTGTTTTAATTTGTATATGAAACCAGAGGTAAAAAAACTTAAATATTTAACCACTAAAATAAAAACATTATGATATGTTATTTAGAATACCATTCCGTTTTTATTAAAATGGAAAATAACCCACAGAGTGAAACATAAATTGGTTAGAAATTGTGGCAGAAACCTTTAAAATACCGAAAACCGGGACGTACCGTTATATGGAGTCTCTATCAAATAGTTGACCTGAATCGAACATTTTTGCAAGGAAAGAATAGACCTACCGAGAAAACCAATTGTCAAGTTTCATCTAAATTTGTTAGAAATTGTAGCAGAAACCTTTAAATACTAAAAATCGGGAGTTACTCTTATATGGGACTTATGCCTAAAAGTGGACCAATATATATTTTGAATAACAAGCAACCTGAATATAATATAAACCCAAGTTTTGGACTGAATAATGTAGACTCTACCGTGATTTCAGTAGACAGACGGACACCGCTAAACCACCATATAGTTTTATTCTGATCTGGAATATATATACTTTTTGGGGTCTGCGGCGAATATTTCGAGGTATTGCAAACGGAATGACAAATTTAATATACCCTCCATTGTATGGTGGATGACATAAAAATGGAAATCTTATAAGTGTAAATTGCTACATTTAGATATATGCCCAAGTATATTATTTTGGGCTTTATTCCACTTTTCTCTGGAATCGGTTTTTTTAGACTTCCGTTTTAAAATCTCTTATACATTTGATATGATAGGCTTATTTGTGCATAGATTGTATTTTCGGACGTTAAAACTGGTTTGATATGACAAACGGGGTTTCTATAGAGGGAAATTTGAAAATAGTAAAATTAAAAAGTCTCTGTTGCGGCGCAGTGTAAATAAAATAATAAGGGAAGAAATAAAGCACAGGAAAATTAGTATTTTTGAATTAAAAAATTGGCGGTTGTATTATTGTTTTTATATTAGTCGATAAGTTAATATTTACCTCGTTGGACAATTGGTGGTGCAAAGATGTTTATTGGACGAAGATCCGTGAAACAAGAGAAGAGAAAAAGCAACGAGAAAGCCGAGATGTCTCAAGAGCCGCGCAAATTGACAGATAGAAGGTGTAAGCGTCAATTTTTTGAGCATTTTCTTTATTCAATTATTTTTTTTTAATTTTTTTCAAAAACAAGTGATGGTTGATGAACTATCAAGGCAATAGAAGATTGCCTTCAACAAATTTTAGACCATGGGTCTCGATTTAGGCCGATCATCTCGGACAACTTCACAGTGGGCAAGGACCGGATACCATCCAACCAAAGATAGTAAGTTGAGCCCAAGGGAACCCTGGGTACACATCTGGACCAAGAATTAGTGCGATGTGAGCGGACTTATGAAACTCGGGATCTGCTAGTAGCATCGCAGCATAGTGATCTTTAATGTAGTCTGGAGCCGATTTGGCAGGAGCGACAACATGCCTCAAGGGTGTGCTCCGTGCTGATACACGAAGCAACTTTGCATATAAATCCAACACAACGTTAGCACAATATTTACAAACACAAAAAAGTAAATACACTCAAAGAATTAATATTTAAGAAAATTTGGTTTCACTTACTATGACCACTGATGAAAACTGATATCGAATTCCCCTTTGGAAGAAGATGGATTCTCTCCCTGGGCAAAAAAAAACATTACCAATTACAAAATCTAATTTTTCAACACTACATGCCATTGCCGATATTGAACAATGTATTTCAAATCTTGAAGATAACGAAAAGGACAGATGTAGAATAAAAGTTGTCAAAAGAATAAAGAACTACAAACGAAACAAGAAATATAACCAAAAAGAAAGGCTTATTCAAACTACATTCGAAAATACCAATAAAATTCTAAAAGTAAACAAAGACGTTATAATTTTGCAAGCTGATAAAGAAAAAAACCTTAGCAATGAATAAAAACGACTATATTTCTAAAATGGAAACACTTCTACAAGAAAAACACACATATAAAATATTACGAACAGATCCAATCAAAAAATTACAAAAGCAAATAACAAGTTGTTTTCAGAACTATACAAAACAAGAATATAACTTTGTTTAAAAAAATAAATTGTCTTGCACTGCAGCTAACGCGCCTCGAATATATGGGTTGCCAAAATCCACAAACCCAACATCCCACTAAGACCAACTGTTTCGTCAATAAATTTACCATGCTATGAACTTTCAAAGAACCTTGGACAGATTTTAAAAAACCTAATTTCAAAGGACTCTAATATAAAAAAACTTGACTTCTTTAAAACAAAACTTAAAAAACATCAAACGTTTTCCACAAACGTTTTCCATATAAAGTAATATGCACATTAATTGATGAAATTAAAACAGAACAACAGAGAGATGTCAGAACACGGCAGATAACGAAAATACAGAACCAAAGAGTTTTTACGTTGTAACTTACATCGCTGTAACTTACATCGCTTCGACAATAAACAGCTGCGACAAATTATTACATGCTATCACAACATGCCTTTCACACTGGCCACTCACCAGACTTTAATAGCATAGAAATATTAGACAAAGAGAAATTAGAAAAGAAAAGACTAATGATTGAAAGCCTTAGAATAAAACAACATATTGATTATATTTATTTTTAAGAAGTGTAGTTTGTTATATGTTCTATGTAAACTCGTCTTAAAGAATTATACTCTAAGTTTATCCTATTTTGTGACTTAATATGAAATTAGTTGTACACTTTTTGATTTATTTGAATAGATGAATTTCCCCAGGAGAAGTCGCCACAACAGTGACGAAACATCGAGAATAAAATACAAAATAAAATAATTTTGTTTTAATTTGTATATGAAACCAGAGGTAAAAAAACTTAAATAGTCAACCACTAAAATAAAAATATTATAATATGTTATTTAGAATACCATTCCGTTTTTATTAAAATGGAAAATAACCCACAGAGTGAAACATAAATTGGTTGAAAATTGTGGCAGAAACCTTTAAAATACCGAAAACCGGGACATACCGTTATATGGAGTCTCTATCAAATAGTTGACCTGAATCGAACATTTTTGCAAGGTAAGAACAGACCTACCGAGAAAACCAATTGTCAAGTTTCATCTAAATTTGTTAGAAATTGTAGCAGAAACCTTCAAATACTAAAAATCGGGAGTTACTCTTATATGGGACTTATACCTAAAAGTGGACCAATATATATTTTGAATAACAATCAACCTGAATATAATATAAACCAAAGTTTTGGACTGAATAATGTAGACTCTAACAAGATTTCAATAGACAGATGGACACCGCTAAACCATCATATAGTTTTATTCTGATCTGGAATATATATACTTTTTGGGGTCTGTGGCGAATATTTCGAGGTATTGCAAACGGAATGAAAAATTTAATATACCCTCCATTGTATGGTGGAGGACATAAAAATGGAAATCTTATAAGTATAAATTGCTACGTTTAGATATATGGCTAAGTATATGATTTTGGGTTTTATTCCACTTTTCTCTGGAATCGATTTTTTAGACTTCCGTTATAAAATCCCATTTACATTTGATATGATAGGCTTATTTGTGCATAGATTGTATTTTCGGACGTATGGGCGACAAAGAGATATAGATATTTGATGAACAATTCAATAAGACTGATTTTAATCTAAAAAGTATATTTAATAATTTAAATAATAAGGTTAAAATAAACAGCGACATGCACAAATAATTGTTAAAAATAAAACTTATGCTAAAACAAAATAAGAACTGGTTTGAAATTTAAAAATAGTAAAATAAAAAGGGAAGAAATAAAACACAGGAAAATTAGTATTTTTAAATTAAAAAACTGGCAGTTTTATTATTGTTTTTATATTAGTCGAAAAACTAATATTTACCTTGTTGGACAATTGGTGGTGCAGAGATGTTTATTGGACGAAGATTCGTGAAATAGGAGAAGAGAAAAAGCAACGAGAAAGCCAAGAGCCGCGCAAATTAATAGATAATACTCGTTAGAATTTGCCATCGCTAACTTTGAACGAAAGTTCAAAGTTGAATAAAATGGTATGATGGCAAATTATTAGAAATAGTGACGAGTTGCATTTTAGGTTTGTAATTTAATTGTAAATTAAACATTACCGCCGCCCTTGAAGCATCTAGGTATGTTACTACAATTATGCTGCAAACTACAAATAAATAAAAGGTGTAAGCGTCAATTTTTTGAGCATTTTCTTTATTCAATTATTTAATTTTTTTTTTCAGTTTTTCAAAAACAAGTGATGGTCGATGAACCATCAAGGCAATAGAAGATTGCCTTCAACAAATTTTAGAACATGGGTCTCGATTTAGGCCGATCATCTCGGCCAACTTCACAGTGGGCAAGGACCGGATACCTCCCAACCAAAGATAGTAAGTTGAGCCCAAGGGATCCCTGGGCTCGAATGAGTTTGTGATTTTAACACCGTCGGGTACACATCTGGACCAAGAATTAGTGCGATGTGAGCGGACTTATGAAACTCGGGATCTGCTAGTAGCATCCCAGCATAATGATCTTTAATGTAGTCTGGAGCCGATTTGGCAGGAGCGACAACATGCCTCAAGGGTGTGCTCCGTGCTGATACAAGAAGCAGCTGCGTCTGGTCGTGACATGACTGTAAAGTCAGTTGGCAGAATAAATCTTGGCCAACGTTTATGGAACAATCAACCTGAATATAATATAAACCAAAGTTTTGGACTGAATAATGTAGACTCTAACAAGATTTCAATAGACAGATGGACACCGCTAAACCATCATATAGTTTTATTCTGATCTGGAATATATATACTTTTTGGGGTCTGTGGCGAATATTTCGAGGTATTGCAAACGGAATGAAAAATTTAATATACCCTCCATTGTATGGTGGAGGACATAAAAATGGAAATCTTATA